CATTTGTCTGAAACTGCTTGTTGACTATATTTCAAATGATTTTAAATAGCAATTTGAAATTTAATGTCAATGGATTTCTCCTGGACCCCAGGGAATATGCACAGATTTTTTAAAAGTTATACAGGGGCTTAGGTATACATCAATGAAGATAATTTAGATGGTCTGAGGTTACTTCTTGGTGCCTAATTTAATCACTGTTCTTTGATACAGATGGATATTCCAAACTAGGAATAACGTGCCTGCCTAGAGTAACACTGAATTATTCTAATATCTCTCTGTATAGGAGGATTAACATCCTGAGGTGATTTCCATTCTCTTCATTCAGATATTTCTTGATATTGTAAAACCATTTCTTCAGCTTCTCTAATATATCTACATTATGAGGAACAATGGTGTGTATTATTATTAGCTATTAACATATACATAGTAATTTTTATAAACTTATAGCCAAATGTGCATCTATAGTTGATGCTCATCTGTGACCAATAAAGTAATTTTTATTTTTTATACAGTCCCTTTCATTGCAAAGTGCCCCACTGGTCTCTTATTTTCAAGTAGTAAATTTCTTGCAATAAAATTATGGGGATGTAAATTTGATTCCCCAGGCAGATGTGTAAAAATCATTGATATTCTAGTTAACATAAATTCCATTCTACAGCTAATCCGTTGCGTGGCTCTGCTTAACAGTGGAAATGGCAGTCTCATATACAGATGCTCACCACTTCTCTGTAGCTCAATAAGATGTGAGTGTGATTTGTGTACATATAACCATTTCCCCCTGAATAGTGTGTTTATGCTTTTCAAACATACGCCCAATAAATACAATGCATGAGATGAATTTGGTCAAATAGAAAGTTAATTAGCCCTGATGTGCCTTCCTGATATAACAGTGGAGCACAGAATAATCTGGGAGCAGCATTCATTAATCTTCTGACAGACATTATTTGGTATCTGATACAGGGATATCAGTTTATTTTTTGGCACAAAAGTTTCATAACACATAGCACAGAACCTCATTGGCCCATAACAATAAGCCTTTCTTAAATTTACACTCTGATGTGGTCACTGGTGGCCTGCTAATTTTGGTGGAAATTATATTTATTTCTGGGGGATCAAAGGCTGTTAAATGATCTGGAAGTCTTCAGCTGGAATGACTGGGTCACCTTGGCTCTGTTCCAATCTCTCATCTTTTTGCAGATACGCCTGGACATCTTCTTCTCATGTTGATGACATAGGGCAATGACGAGGGCGAGTATAGTTGTACCAGACCATTCCAAGCTTCTGTTTGCCTCATGTCTGCTAAAAACCCATTGGCCAAAGATGAGACATGGCCAAGCCAAAGTGGGGAGAGATGTCCATCTCTCTTAGACCCGTCCTAGGAAATTTTTGAAAAGTTATATGGCAGAATATTGTAGATACAGGGAAAGATAAACAATTGGGTCTGTTAGTATGAGTTAATATTGTCTTCACTGATAGTGGCAATTATTTAATAACTTCTAGTATGTAAAATTTGCTCATTTCTATTCCACTAAACTATCCCTGTCTCCCAAATATCATAGCATCAGTACCACATTGTCCAAAATTTTATGCTTTTTAACAGGTTTGGATGTGGGGTGGGGGGTCTCTTGATCTAGAGAACTATAAATGAAAAGACAAATTACCTGTCCACAAACACACAAACTATGTGGCAGATTATATCTTTAAAAATAGTCTATTTAATATTTCTGGATAACTCAACCATTATGTTGTGGGTAAGCCAAGTCCTCCTAGAAGACCATGTGAAGATACTACACTCAACAGATGTAGCAAGGTCACCACCAGCATCTATCATCAGACATCTTGGTAAACAAACCTTCAGTAAACAAACCTCTGGCCTTCAAGTCCTCTAGCTGAGATGACAGAGACTGTTGGATAGAGAGAAGCTATCACCACTATTTCTACTCCAAAATTCTGCACCACAAAAATCAATGAACTTAAAGGGGTTTTTTGTGCCACTCAGTCAGGGAGAGAATAACAATAAACACTTTCATTTGAATGAAAAAATAAAAGGCACTGTAGCAGTCACTAGGCCATATTAATTTTGAAATACTTCCTGGTAACATTTTTCCATGTTCTCCTACCCTGAAATGGAATATAGTCCTTGATTAAGCCTTGGTTCTGTAATCTGGGAATGACTAAGCCTATTTAGAACAAGGTGATGATGCTTTTGCAAGTATAGCTACCTTGAATACTCTTTGGATTTTCTATGTATCAGATTTGAGTTTATACATGTACCATAAGCTACATCCCAATTGGTTTTGGGACATATCTATCAATCTAGACTGACTTACTGGTATTTTTTGACATATAAAACTCTTACAAGACAATACCATTATCCTTAGGAGTCCATTGGTCTGGCTAAGAAGGTCTACTGGCCACCAATTTAATGATTTCAGAGGACTTAACAAAAGGTCTTAAAGATCTCTGGTCCTGAGGCAATCCTATATAATAAAAGGCTAATATTCAAATTGTCCCTTTGACCAGGAGTTCGACCAGGGGGTGGGGCTGGCTGGCCAATCGCCTGAAGCCCCTCCCTGCAGCCAGCCCCACCCCTGATTGGCCCACCCACCCTGATTGGGGGTGAGGCTGGCCAACTGCCCACGGCCCCTCCCCCTAGCTGGGCCAGCCCAATAAGCCCTGATTGTGCATGAATTCGTGCACCAGGCCTCTAGTGTATTAATATGGAAATCTGTCACTTGTTTGAAAGGCTGGAGATGTGAACAGTTTTCTTTTCCAAACTATGAATTTCCAAAATTCCGGAGCTCTCCACATTCCCACTAAATTATTTTTGGAAACTAGCCAGTTCTTCAGTCTACATCTTTTTTCTTGTATAATCCTATATAATAAAAGCCTAATATGCTAAGTGTCTGGTCAACTGGTCGTCCACTCAACCAACCAAAGCATAATATGCGAATGATATGCTAAGGCCGCTCAACTGCTCGCTATGACGTGCACTAACCACCAGGAGGCAGACAGTCAACCAGTTGACCAGTTACTATGACGTGCACTGAGCAACAGGGGGCAGACACTCCCGACCTGTAGGTTAGCTTGCTGCTGGGGACTGGACAATCAGGACTGAGCAAGATGGGCAAGACACACCCTGGAGCCCTCCCATGGTCCCTCCCAGGCTGGCCAACCTCCTGCATCCCTTTCCAGCCCCGATTGTGCACTGGTGGGGTCCCTCGGCCTGGCCTGTGCCCTCTCGAAATTCTGAACCCCTCGGGGGATGTTGGAGAACTGGTTTTGTTCTGATCCCGCAAGCCAGGCCAAGGGATCCCACTGGTCCACAAGTTTGTGCACCAGGCCTCTAGTCTTACCATAAACAGCTAAAAGCAACCAGTAGATGTTTTCAGTACTTTCCTTGGACATCTCTTTAAGTCAGGTCCCAGAGTTCATTAAGTATATTATCTGACTTTCAGGTTACATGTTACGGTTCTACTAAATGTGACACAACTTTAGAACACAGGTTATCACACTTCACTTTTCCTGTCACAGTTTTCCTTTTCCGTTTTTCCATCCTCCTTTAATGCTATCTTTATTACCTGTCTCCTGCTCCCAAAATCAAGGTATCATATTTTTGTTACAGTAGCACTCCATTTTTAGTACAATTCTTTAGTTAGCTACCTATAGCCTTAATAGTAATGTGAAACAAACAGCCACAGAACTTCAGTGCCAAACAACCATAAGAATTTATTCCTTATGTGAATGAAATAGTCCTAGCAGCAATTCTGCTGATCATGCTTGGGGGTTACCTGATTATCAGATGATTTAGCATGGCCTCACCTGGGAAAATTGGGAAACCTGAGCTCTGCTCCATATGATTCCATCCTTTATCCGGCTAGCCCAGGTATATCCTTTCCTGCCAGTATTACTAGAAGGCAAGTGTGAGAATAAACCAAATTGTATGAGCCTATTTTAAATTCTGTTTTGCATCATACTTTTTTAAAAAGAAGTATATAAATTTAATAAACAGAATTTTTACTTTATTTTACCTCAGCAACACCTGGGTAAATGTTTCAAATTAGGACTTTTTCTCCCAGTGGGGTCTCTCTCTCTCTCTCTCTCTCTCTCTCTCTCTCTCTCTCTCTCTCTTTACTTTTAATTTCTTTATTGATTAAGGTATTACATCATACTTTTTAACATGTTATTGACTAAAGCAATACAAGGCTACACTCAGGTGCGGGGTTCATGTCCCAGAATAAAGAAGGGTTCAGGAATCTGGAAAAGGGGCTGTGCGCAGATGACATAGGAATCCAGAGACTAATAAAGAGTCCAGAGACGAGATATAATTTTGAAAGGCATTGGGGGTCAGAGGACCTTCAGCTAAAGGAACTGAAGAGTTTTCCTCCTTGTCTAGGACTCTTGCTTTTATTAACACAATTTGTCCTAAGGCAAGGTGGAGATAATACACTTCAAAGGGTAAGGTTTCAAAGGGTACAGAAGCATTGTCAGAATGGGGGAATAGCCTACGGCTGTTCAGGTGTTTGGCCAGTAGGAGGCAATAACATGTAGATTAAGATGCCCTTTAACTGTCTGGCAGCCATAATCAGTTTCCTATTCAGGTTTGGGGAAATGCCTTTAGCCATTCCCAACAGATGACTACATGTGTGACTCAACCCTGTTGAGTCCCCAAGTCTCATCAACCTTTTGATGAAACTCTTGAAATTATGACATGCTGAAATTGGTCTACGGCACTCAGGGTGGAAATTGTGCCTGCTCCCATGCCCATTGGAGAGGATGGTAAAATTATATGCAAAATCATGTGGAGGGGCAAACGATCAGGGGCCATCTCTGCATCTACCAATTCTGGACCTTTTGACTCCAAACTTCCAAATCTTATGTGCAGACCAAATACATTGTCAGTTACTTTAGTTTATATATTATTGGAATTGTATATGTATTTTGCTTTAGATTTCACAGTGCTTATAGCTTATTTTGTATATTTAAAATACCAATGAAAAATACTTACCTGGCAGGGGAGATACCATGGTCATGAAGGTGGTTTCCCAGGGCGGAGATTACCTGTGGCACTCTGAGTGTGCGGATGCCTGCAATTCCCCCAAATGTGGAGGACTCCATTGCAGAATTTGTGGTAGTGGGGGACTGTATTCATACTTTCTCTTAAAAAAACACCAATTAAAACAAGAATAATTCCTGTTGAGGAGAGTACCTCTTATTGTCTTCGTTTACAGATGGGGAAATCTCGGTAAAGGGTTTAAGGCATTTGCTAAATTTCTTTTCCTTTGGACAAATAGTGTTCAGATTGTTCCCGTTTGTCAACTAGAACATTTGTTTCTGCAATTAAACCATATTAAATAGCAGCAAAGATGATTTCAGTTGAGGGGACTTTCCCTTTCTGTCTTTTACATATATATTTTTTTGTTTTGTTTTCTCATACATTAAGTATTTATAAGATATTTTCTTAATGAGGATCAAGTCACACTATATTTTTCTAACACTATAAACAGGATTAAATGTATTTCCACATACACAATGCATGGTTGCATATGCCTTGATCAGTTGGTATTTTCCTCCAGAATAAACTGAATTGTCATGGGTAACCAATAGGGGAAGTATAGGTGACCTTAATGATAATCACTGCTTGTTACCAAAGCTGTCATATAAAAAACCACATGCTTGACCTGAAAGCCCATTTTCTTTTCTTTAAGCAGATAGTAGTTGAATTTAATGAAAGCCTTTAGCCTTTTGCAGTGCTTTACTTCCTAAAGCGCTCACTAAAGAGAAATTAACTAATATTCAAGGAAAGGGATATAATATTTTTGTGACTTTCAACCTCAGGAGCAAAACCCATTAGTAGCTATAGATTTTTCTCTAAAGCAATGAGCTAGTGTACAATCAATTCATGTTAGGTTAACACTGTATATCAAGATGATAAGTCTTGGTGGATCTGTACTTCTGTTTCCTATGAGACTTGGTACCAGGCTCTACATTGATTCTAAGAGATGAAACATAAACTGAAGTCTCAATGGCTATAAAACAATCCTTTGTGTCTGACCTCAGACACCCTCTTAACAATCCATGAGAAATAAACATTTATTTTAATCAATAACTTCCCTGTGGGTAAAACAACTTAATTAAAACTTCTAATAGTTTAAACAATACCAATAATAGACCATGTATTTGCCTAATGTTTTCAATTCTCTTTATATGTTTCTCTTTCTCTCTCTCACTCTCTCTCTTATTTTTCTCTTTATTGAATTGTCAAAAACTAGTTTTCTAGTTTTCTTTGGAGTATAGAGACTTTTAGGTATTGAAAAATGTTTCTTGTGGACTTAATTCAAAGAATTAGGCTCCTATATTATTCAAATAATCTGAAAATATAATGCACAAATCCATAATTTAAAACCTGAATTTTCTACTCTGTTAACTGATAAGAATGTTTTTCTGTTTCTTTCAAAATTTTTTAAAGTGATTAGTTTAATTTTTTGTGGACACTAACCCATGATCTTTTTTGGTATTATGTGAGATTACCATATAGTATGTTGGAAAGTTTCTATTACCTTAGAGCCAGAAGTTCTGCTTCTCTAACTTTGCACAATCATTTAAGACTCAGGTCTTTCATTTATCAAATTTGAATAACAATTATAATTTTTCTTTTCTCTACACCAACAATGGTTTATGAGCATAAAATTAATCACTAATATGTGAACGTCTTCTGTGTACTATAATTCTTTCACAAATAAAGACACTTGAGATATGGGAAAAAGAGACTGAAGGATACTAAGTTTGATTCCAGTCAAGGGCACAAGCCCAGGTTGCTGGTTCAGTCCCCAATAGGGGGTGTGTAGGAGGCAGCCGATCAATGATTCTCTCTCATCATTGATAGTTCTATCTCTCCCTTTCCTTTCTTCTCTGTAGTCAATAAAAATATATTAAAAGTAGTGACTTTTCCAATGCTGATGTGTATGCAGAGAAACAGAATCTTTCATACATTATTGGTAGAAATTTAAAGTGAAACAGTCACTCTGGGAAATAGGTAGGCAGTTTCTTTAAAAAGTGATTATATACGAACCAAATTACCCAACAACCATACTCCTTTTATTCCAGAGTAATAAAAACTCATATCTGCACAGAAACCTATACAGGAATGTTCATCACAGCTTTATTTGTAATAGCCAAAGCCTGGAAACAACCAAGTGGCATACAATAAATGAATGGATAAAAAAACTGGGGTACATCCATACCATGGAATACTGTTATTCAGTAACAAAAAGAAACAACTTGGATGGATTTTAGGAGTATAATGCTGATTGGAAAAGGCCAAACTCCAGTATCACATGATGTATAATACCATTATATACTACTAGAGGCCCAGTGCACAAAAATTTGTGCACTTGGGGGGAAGGGGGGTCCCTCAGCCCAGCCTGTGCCCTCTCGCAGTCTGGGACCCCTCGGGAGATAATGACCTGCTGGCTTAGGCCCGCTCCCGGGTGGCAGAGGGCAGGCCTAATCCCTAGGTCAGCCCCTGGTTGGGCACAGAGCAGGGCCGATTGGGGAATTGGGGCGCCGCCCCCTGTCATGCACAGAGCAGGGCGGATTGGGAGGTTGCGATGCCACCCTCAGTCACCCTCAGGGTAGGGCCGATTGGGGGGTTGGGGCACCGCCCCCTGTCACACTCAAGGCAGGGTCGATGGGGAGGTTGTGGCGCCACCCCCTGTCACGCACAGAGCAGGGCCAATCAGGGGGTTGGGGCGCTGCCCCCTGTCACACTCAGGGCAGGGCCGATGGTGAGGTTATGGCTCTACCCCATCACACACAGAGCAGGGCCCGTGGGGTGGGGGGGTTGGGGCACTTCCCTCTATCACCCACAGAGCAGGGCCGATCAGGGGGTTGGGGCGCCGCCACTGTCACACTCAGGGCAGGGCCGATGGTAAGGTTATGGCTCTACCCCATCACACACAGAGCAGGGCCCATGGGGGGCGGGGTGGTTGGGGCGCTGCACCCTTTCACACACAGAGCCGCAGGGCGATCAGGATGTTGGGGAGCTCCCCGCTATGAGGCACAGAGGAGGGCCGATCAGGGGGTTCGGGCGCCTTCCCCTGTCAGGAACAGAGCAGGGCCAATACGGAGGTGGTGGCCCCGCCCCCTGTCACACACAGAGCCACAGGGCGATCAGGGGGTTTGGGCGCTGCCCCCTGTCATGCTGATCCTGGTGCCGGGAGACCTCACGGCTCTGCTGATCCCGGTGCTGGGAAGCATATTGCCCTTTTACTATATAGAATAGAGGCCTGGTGCATGGGTGGGGGCTGGCTGGTTTGCCCTGAAGGGTGTCCCGGATCAAGGTGGGGGTCCCCACTGGGGTTCCTGGCCAGCCTGGATGAGGGGATGATGGCTGTTTGCAGCTGGTCACACACCCTTCAGGGTGGGGGTCCCCACTGGGGTGCCTGGCCAGTCTGGGTGAGTGGCTGAGGGCTGTTTTCAGGCTGGGACTGAAGCTCCCAACTGCTCCTTTTTTTCTTTTTTTTTTATTCTGAGCTAGCTTTAGCTCTGAGGCTCCAGCTCTTAGGCCTCCGCTCCTGAAAGCAGGTATCTGGTTTGTTTAGGTTCTACAATCGAAACTCTGTATCAACTCCAGGTCTGAGATCCCCGCTAGCTGAAAGCTGGTTTCTGGGGTTTTGTTTATCTTCTATATTTGTAACTATGTTTCAAACTGCCAGCTCAGAGGCCTGCAGCGGCAGGTGGGGAACGTTGGAGTCCTCTGTCACTGAAGCAAGCAAGACTCATGTTAGTTTCAAGCTGCCTGGCTGCCGGCCGCCATCTTGGCTGACAGTTAATTTGCATATCGCCCTGATTAGCCAATGGAAAGGGTAGCGGTCGTACGCCAATTACCATGTTTCTCTTTTATTAGATAGGATTCTTGATATGACTATATATTGCTATACATTATCATTAGTGGTTGCCAAGGATTAAGGACAAGTGGGATAGGTGTGCCTATAAAGGAGTAGAATGAGGTAGATCCTTGTGGTGATAGAATAGTTCTATATCTTGATTGAGGACATGGTTGTAGAGATTTACATATGTGATAAAATGGCATAGAACTATGCACAGACATTGCTATAATGTAAAGGACCTTATTTTTATGTTGTTCTATAGTTATGTAAAATTCAACCCTAGGGGGAAATCCTCAGTGAAGGGTACATGGGACCTCTTAATACCAATTTCTTGTGAATCCATAATAATATCAAAATGATTAAAATTATTTACTGTTAAATACATATTAACATTCAGTTGAGACTTTCTAAAATACTTAGAATAGTGAGACTCTTTGAAAAATAACTGGAAAGTGATAAAATATTTAAAAATAGTCCACATAGGAAAACCAATCATTATTAATTTGTTTATATAAAATGCTTTTTACTTTCTAGGACCTATCCTGTGTAGAAAGGACAATAAAAAATCACTGCTGGAATGATAGGTTAGTGCCGAACAAAATTATGTTTAAATATAATGAAAACACAAAGGAAATTTTTATTTGCAAAATTTGATATTTTATTAAAATTAATCTGATTGGTCCTTACCAAGATTAAAAAAAAAAAAAAAAAACATTATTTTTTCCATGCCCATTTTTTTGTTGAGAAAATTATCATGTTGGCTCTAGCCAGTTTTGCTCAGTGGATAGAGCTACAGCCTGTGGGCCAAAGGGTCCTGGGTTCGATTCCAATCAAGAGCACGTACCTTGGTTGCAGGCTCCTTCTTGGCCAGGCCCTGGTCCGAGCACATACAGAAGGCAACCAGTCGATGTGTTTCTCACACACTGAAGTTTCTCTCACATAGATGTTTCTCTTTGCCTTTCCCTCTGTCTTCCATACTCCCTAAAATGGAAAAATATCATTCAGTGAGGATTAACAAAAATTAAAAACCAACCAACCAAACAAACAAACAAAAAAAGAAAATTATCATGTTGGAACAGTGACTCAGATAAGTAGAAAATGTCTTTTTTCACAGTAGGTTGCTGTACTGGAATTTTTTGCATTTTAAATTCTCAACAATTTTGGTGTTCTCAGCCATATGACATTATATATTAGATCTGTGATAATTGTTATGGCAGTCATTGCATGAGCCACTTTTTTTGTACTTATAGCATTAAAAAAGCCCAAATTCTT